TCAGGGCCAGCTGACACCTGTTTCACCAGCCAGCTGCAAAAGCCACAGTCCACTGATGAAGGGTCTATTTCATACAATTTAAAAGCGTATCAACACAAACTGATGTGTAAGTCAGCTCAGTCACCTTTTTGGGGTTGCAGCCTGAGAACTCATCAGGTAGCCAACAGTGTTTGCTCGCGGGAGACAGCGCTGCTCTGGGTTGGGTGAGGGTAACTGGCTGCCGTGTCCCCTCATGGCGCTCACAGTCGCCAAGAGCATGAGGTGCCTGCCACACACGTGCCAAGCATGTCACAGGAGGTGCAGAAGGCTTCCTTCCGGAGGCAACTGACCTGCCCGGGAGATGCACTTGACACAATTCCTGCCGTTCGCGCACCCAGCATCCCAGTGTGCCCCAGGCCAGGGCCCTGCACCCACAGGGAGACTGCTGGTCCTAGGACCATGGTTTGTTGAGGGTAAGGAGAGGCTGGGTGACTCTATCCCAGAGAAGCTGGAAGAACCCAGCCAAGGACCCTGAAGGAGGCCGTGGGAACACCAAGGTGCCTTCAGAAGAGCCCAGACCTACTCTGTCTGACCCACCTTCCTTCCAAGTGACTGGTTCCTCCTGCCTCTTTCACTCCTCCCTTCTTTCTCCAGGGGGCTGAGTGCCGCAGTTTTGCTCTCCTGGGCTCTAAGATTGATCTGTTTCCATGGGGGGGGGGATGGGAAGGCCATGCAGGCTGGTGTGTTTAATGGCTTTGGCTTTGGCCTTGGTTGAGAGGCAGACTCGTGTTTGTGACTCAATGTCAGAAAAATGAACTACAGCTCCCCACCCCCACCCCAGGTGGGATCCTATGCAATCAAGGGCCTGTCTCTTGAGATGTGGAGTAAGATCAGACACTTGGCTCTTATTCCAGGTGATGCTTGAAGAAAACACCAAGGACGCCTGTTGTTTTTGATTCAGACTTCAGAGTGTCAGCCGGTGGCGTGGTTGTCCGTCCATATTAAGACCACACCAGGGCGCAGGAGGCTCCCGTCAACAACCCCACCCTTTGGTCTGCCATTTTTGTTTCCTTCTCGACTCTGAAATCTGTTCATTCACTCTGGCTTCTAACGTCCCCCCATGTTCTGAGTAACCTGAGCCTGTACCTCTGTAGGCTGTATCTGTACCTCTAGCTTCCTGCTCGTGGTCTCGAGCCCCATCTTCAATCCTACCTGCCCCATGATGTCTTCCCTAGTTACGAGAAGGTGAGTGATAAACAGTCAAATCGCTTACTCCCTGCAGCGTGAAAAAGAGTTTGTTGAACTCAGAGAAGAGAAAAGAAAACATTATTTACCGTTGTCTCCTTTGTCTACCAGGCCTGCAGGAGAGGGAGGGGGTGGCTTCCAGAGCACCACATTGGGGTGCTGTTCTCCATATCCACAAGTTGGCTCTCCTGCCACGGCCTGTGGGGCACACCCTTCACCTTGTTTGCAGAGCTCTCCTCTGCACACGCCTCGTTCCAGCTTTACCTCCTCCTCAGGGCTCCTCAAAGTGTCTAAGCAAACTTCCCCGGACGTACCTTACCCCTCTCCACCTCCTACCTGTCGAATGCCACTCCCGTTCTCTTATTTAACCAAATTGTACCATTTTCTAAGGCTCAATTTAATTTTCCATCCTCTTCGATCGCTATGCAAACCACATGGATCTCTCCTGTCACTGAATTTCACAGCAGCTTTTAATCTTTCTTAAGGAGCTCTGATAGCACAGTGCCTACTAACCAGACTGCTAACCAGAAGGCTGGTGACTGCTAACCAGAAGGCTGGTGATTCAAACCCACCAGCCACTCTGTGGAAGCAACACTGGGCAATGTACTTGCCTGAAGATTTACCACCTCAGAAACCCAGTGGGGGCCGCTATGAGTTGGAATCGAGTCGATAGCAGTGGGTTTGGGGTTTGGTTTTTAATCTCTGTTAGCCATGTTCTGCCTTCCTGAACTTTGTGCATCACTGGATCACTTTGTAGTTTCTTTCTTGTTTGGTATTTATCTTTTGTGTTCCCCACCAATCTCTGAATTCTGGGGGAGGATCTCACTTGAGGCTCTTCATGTCTTTCTCAGCACCCAGCAGTGTGTCAGCTACAGTGGAATGTAACATACATTAGTTTACTGATTGATACTTCCCTTCAAGACACCCTTGGGGTCTCAGGCCCTGAGACACTCTCCATAGTCAAGGGGAGGGATGTTGTGATGACAATCTGGTGATGAAGGGACTCAGGGTTGGGAACAGAAGGGATGCTCATTAAACGTGGCATTTAATTGATTGATTGTGGAAGACGAAGTTGACATTTAGGACCGTGGTGGACTGATGATGGGGCTTATGTGGATGTTAACTCAGTCAACACTGAACGCTGTAGACTGGCTTTGGAATCTTATTGGGAAAGGGCCAAAGCCACAAAGAAGATTCCAGAGCTTAAGTCATTATTGATCCATGCCTTTCAAGCAGAGTACATTTTCCTAACACACACATGCACACACACACACTTGTGTGCACGGTTGCAGAAACACACCATCCCTTA